TCCCCACAGCATCTCGGGCCATTGATGTCCTGCTGAGCCCAGGGCACCAGACCAGCCAGCCTGACTGACCAGCATGTCACCCACGGCCGCCACCTTCCCTCCTCCCCTCAGACCTGCACAGCACTGCCTGAGCCTCCCTCCTCCTCCTGGGGAGCTGGAGAAGCGTGTGATGGCAAATGACAGCCTCACCTCTTCACCCATGGAGTGAGGGATGGATGAGATCTGATCAAGCAGCTGCTCGTCAGTCCTGAGCATTGTCTGCCCATCACTCAGCAGCCACAGGGTGCCCTGTGTCACAAGTCCCCACAGGGCTCTCCCAGCAAGGCCTCCAAAGACACTGAGGGGATTTTCAAACCAGCTGGTTCTGTCTGGTGTGCAAGTAAATTACGCAGCTGTATTGCATACCTGCGTGGCTGGTGGCAGTGGAATATATTTTAGGAGTTTATACAGGGATTTCCTGGGCTGGGACATCACATTCCTTTCACCTTTTCTTGGTCTGAAAGCAAGGTGGGGCAGAGCACCAGAGCAAAGCAGGTGCAGAGGATATCAGGAGTGCCCAAGCTGTGTATGAGCTGTATGCATTGAGCTGAGCACACCTCAAAACAACCCCCCCCTCCTGTAAGGATCATTGCTGGCACCCAAATGCAGGATTTATCCCCAAAGAATCCTCCACAGTTTGCTGAGTTATCTCCACATTCTGAACTACAGGAGCACATGGCTGAAGCAGTTGTGAAGAATGCCAAACACTATCCTACTGTCTCCCCTGCCCAGGTAAGGGCACAAACTCACTAAGGTGGAGCTTGGCTAATGTAGGAACTTCACACAGGGAACTCAGTTCCCTGAGTATACCTGAGAAACACTAGAAACAGAAACAGAATTTTTATTTTAAAAGGTGATCAATAAGAGCAGCTCTTAGCAAGCCTGGCCAGCCAAATACTAAAGGCAACCCTGCATAAACCAATACAGGACACGGTCAGATTTTGGGACAGTGGGTCAGAGAAGGAATGAGCTCCCATGAAAGACAGGTGCTCTTTACATCTCAGGGCAAGACAATACCTCTGGGCCTTCTCAGTGTAATCATGGGCCTTCTATAAGCATCTGCTCAAGGGCTTTTCACCTCTGTCTCAGCCCTCCTGTAAGCACTGTCTGTACACAAATCCCTACTTCACCTCCCTCAGATGCTGCATTCTGTCTGTACCTAAAGGGGAGGCAGAGGCGGCTGCGCTTCGCTCGCTCTGGGTGACACACTGTGCAAGTTCACAGTCCCACAAACATTAAACAAAGCCTTGCTCCAAGGATATGGCAGCCTTCCCACATCCCTGGCTGAGCAAATGGAAACACTTCCCAAAAGCACATGTCGTAAAGGCTGTCCTTGGTGGCTCTGTGGGCTCAGGGCTATGTGCCAAGGTGTGCTGAGCAGCTGAAGTAACAACCACCCCTGCACCCGCCCTTCCACCGCCTGCCCCGGCCCAGGGCACTACCCAGTCCACTTAGGTAGGTCCAGAAATGAGAAGGGATAGTTAAATTCAGAGAGCCTTAGGTGCCAAGGAAAGGCACCCTAATCCTGGCAGGCTGAAAAGTGCTTTTCAACATCTTGTGACATGGGAGCTTTCAGAGCAGTGATGGAGCTCATCCAGATTCCCATCCTCAGCTGGAGCTGGTGTGTATCACCCCAGGGCAATGGCTTCATTAACATCAGTGCCAGTGCCCAGTTCTCCAGCACAGGGTCCCTGCAAGTACAGACAGTCCTCTGGAGACTGCTCCTGCCACCACTGAAGCCAACCACCAAGATAAAGGCTGCCTGAAATCCTTGAGGAACTTATCAAAGAGACCTGGTGGAAACAGCAGCAGCTGTGTTTCTGTTTTGCTTTCAAAGGGTAAGCACCTTTTTCTCTCCCTATCCTACTGTTGGAGTACAGTTTGTACATCCCATCATTCAGATGTCTGACAAATTATTTCACAGAGTGTTCTTTATCCATAGCTGTGACAAGCAAATTACACAGATTTAGGCTCATCTACCTTGGTCTCCAGGGAAGCCGGATATTAAACTCTCTCAGAACTGGCAGCCTGAAGCACTGTCACCGCTCAGCGTGAAGGAAGATGCTGGGATGCCTTCCCTACTCAACAAAAAAAGGCTATACTCAGGGAGGAACTAAAATATGATGAAGGGAGCACAACATAACTCATTCTTTCTACAGAAATGGGGCTCATCTTAGCCACGGCAACAATATTTACTCCAAATGTCAGGTCTGCAACTTCACCCCTGGCTCCAAGAAAACTATGTGTCTTTTCTTGCTGACACACAGTATGAGATCGTGCAGGCTCCATTACCCCACTTGGTGGCAGCCAAAGTGCCTAATCATGCCCATAAAATGATCAACAGGCACCAGGCATGAAAGGCAGAGATCACTGGTGGCCTTTCAGTGAAGCCAGAAGAGGGTGTGCCCAGCAGTGGCTTCAGAATAAAGGAATCATAGAATATCCCGAGTTGGAAGGGACTCACAAGGATCATCAAAGCCCAACTCCTGGCCCTGTACAGAACAACCCCAAAAATCACAGCATATAACTGAGAGCATTATCCAAGTCCTTGAGCTCTGGCAGGCTTAGTGTCATGGCCATTTCTCTGGAAAACCTGTTCCACTGTCCAGCAACCCTCTGGATGAAGAATCTTTTCCTAATATCCAGCCTAAACCTCCCCTAAAAAAAAAAGCTAAAAGGAAACCTGAGCACTGGCCCACCCCTCAACTGGCACTGCTTGGGCACTGCCATGGGCAACTCAGTGAGTGCACTATTTTGCTATTTCCATATATATATATATATGAACAGGAAAGAACAGGACAAAACCAATCTTCTAGTTCTTCCTTCTAGGAAGGTGGGACTGCTCCTCCCACCACTAATGCTGAAACCCTCTTCAAAAGGGATCAGTGCAAAAGTTATTTATTTCTTCTAAAAGCAGCTGGGTCTTTATTTGGTATGATAAATGCAGAGCTGCCACAGGCCAGGCTTGCTGAGAGTGCCAAGGTTAAGGTGCAATGGCACATTTATCCTCACAATCAAGCTAAGCTTGTAGCCCATTTTCAACATAAGCCTACTCTAGCAAAACAATTTGTCCTTTAATCACAGCAACAAAGACAGGCTCCCAGACTCCAGCTATTTTAAATGCACTCAGATGGGTCCAGATAATTGTTGGTGAGTAAGGAAAAGCTTTGAAGTTCTTGAATCCAGTAACAAAAGCTGAGCCATGTGAGGAAAGAGGCACGGCTGGCAGGCTGGCTGCTGCTGCCATCTCCTCACAGGAATTTGTAACTCTTCTATTAAACCCTTCTCAAAAGTGCTTTCTTCTCCTCCCCTCTCTGTAACCCTCATGTAAAAGCCCCAGCAAGAGCATAACAACAGGATTAATGTTTTTATACAGTTCAGGAAAGCAATTTAGAGCCTTGCCCTCTCTATTCCTAAAGCCAGTATTAAAAAGCTTATTTGATGCAGAAGATTCCTTAAAATTATCATGAATATGATGTGATTGACCTTATCTGCAATACAGAATCATAATCTGTCTTCGAGGTACCAGAGGTTTTACCAAGCATTGAAAAACCTTTTCTTTCCAAAGTCATAAAGAAAAAAATCTCAAGGACCTCCTAACAAATGACCAGATGACAGAGACATCAGTACAAGTCAAATATTACGATTTTACTTCCCTGTAGGATCTGTTTGTTCATGTAATCTGCAATATATCTACTAAAAATGAGAACACAAGTGAATGAAATTGAGAGTGGCAGGTTATTCAAAACTAAATGCAGAATATAATTTAGTTTTATTATAATTACTTGATAAGCTGCATCTTTATCTCAAATGCATTCTTAATAAGAAAATTAAATTCAAGCATAAACTAATGGCAAGAGCACCTTTTGTCAACTGGATGCATTTCCTTTTGCAAAAATGAAACTGAAGCAAGCCTGCTACTTTTCAACTGCAGACATCACAGTATAGTGGTATCAAATAAAGTCTGCTATTACATGAATAATATTATCTATTATGCATTAATATGAATATAGATCAATAGGAAACAAAAATCTGGGCAAACAGCATTTTAGCAAAAAAAGAGTTACTCTTGACACCATCTGAGTACTTGGGAACAGTGTGGACAATACTGAACAGGCAAGCTTAAAGCCTATATATAAAAATTAAGAATAAAAACTGAAAATGCTTTCACTTGAAAAGCAAACCAAAAAGTTTAATGTACTCCCACATATAGATTAATGTGTTTCAGAAACAAAGGAAAGATAGATTTTGACACCTTTTATGTCAAAATTAAGAGGGCATCATAGAGTATCACAATAGCAGCATAAATTCTGCACTCAGATTTTCTTCTTTAGTTTTAAGCCTTCTGAATACTTGAGCCTGTAGTCCATCCAGTTGGGCAGTTTAATCTTCACTTCAAACATGGTTTGCCTTTCAGGAAGACTAACGATTTGGGTTTTGTTTTGCCCCCCACTGGCATCTCAGTGCATGAAGATGAATCACACCAGTTGATATTCACACTACATGAAGCACCTGCAGAAAAATATCTGGCATGTATTGCATATATTTATGTCAAAATCATAGTGTGGTATTACCTACCAAAATAAGAATGAGCTACACAAACCTCAGAAGAACATCCAGGAGGGAATGCTTCTGGATTTTGTAGATGAAAACGAACTGTCTGATGTAGGAAATGTCACTAGTAATAAATCCACTTTTAGAGTATCTCCAGCTCATCAGCTACATGAACAGAACAGGAGTAATGCCCTTTTTTCCTGCTGTTTAAAAGAAAAACTATCCTTCTCACCAGTTAATGGAAGCCTGCCTTGCAAGAAAAATTCCTGCTGAATGCTGTTTCTCAGAACACAACCTGATATAGATGTATGAATGGGGGAGCAGGGGGTTTTCAATGATGAAAAGGAATACAGGCAAAGGTCATAATGCAGATTTATGAAAAATAAATTTATTACATAACACCTTGTTTTAACAATGTTTGATTTTTTTTTTACTCAGAATACTTGTGTCATTCATGTAAAATAGTTTGATACAGTACATTGTATGTAAGTTTTTCCTCATAAATTCTAAGGCTCTCCTAACATCTTGTTCCTCTGCAGTAGGAATGGCACCCCTAAACAACGTGCGAACATTTAAAAAAAAAAAACAAACAAACTGAACAAAATTTAAAACCCACTACACCAAGCTGGTTCTCAAAAATCATGACAAAATATCTGAATGGATGCCGCACCTTTTTAGGAAATATCATTCATGCTTTTTTAATCCCAAAGCATGCTCACAAATCATTAACACCAACAGGAAAAAAATAAAACACTGTCTATGACAATCATTTTAGTTTGTTTGCTGAACCAAACATGTTTATATCAATGACAACATACTTATTTAACTATCAAATAGCAGCTTTAATACCAGTCAAGTCATAGATTTCAAAACAAAACCAAAAACTTATGTTGGAAATAAATCTTTGGGACGCTTGTAATTGCTGGGAAAAAATGCAAACGCTTCCATGTTCTTAAAAAAAATCTCATCGTAGCAATCATGTCGGTCATAAAACATCGATCTAGCTGAAAAATGAACCAACCCACAAAAGTCACTAAAAATAAATGTCTATCAAAACTGTCTGAGAGTTACGGTTAGTTTGCTTTTTTGCCATGGTAACATATACTGTATGCTTCAAGTACCAGTTCAAAGATGTCGCGTACTACCGGTCAGATGAAGTTGTTACATCAAGAGAATTCACCACATACGACAACAAAAATGCTTGCCCCTAGCACATTTCACAGCTTCACCTGCTACAGACCGTCACTGAAAAAAATGCATCGCTCAGTCTGAACCATGTCAAGTAAACTACAGAAGTAGCATATCCACAACACAAACCGTGCTAGCACTTCCTTTTCAAGTCTAACCCCAAGACCAGGTACAAGGTGGGAGCCCCGGCGCCGTGGCGGGACGGTGGGAGGTGTGGTTGTACAGTACATTCTGCGGCCCAAGGTGGGCTCCGGCTGCGGCTCAGTACCGGTGCGTCTGGTGCGAGTACTGCGGCGGCTGCTGGGAGGTAGCTGAGTAGCCCATGCTGCTCTGGGGCTGCGACGTGCTTGGTCCGGGGTTGGGGTAGGCAGCATGGGGGTTGGAACGCTGCAGGGGGGAAGCACAGACACACAGCCCTTCGTAACACGGACAGACAGGTTCACCTACTGACTCCTTTCCTCAAGAGGCACCCAGCACACACAGTCTCAAAGCAGCTGCACTTCCAGGCTTTGTTCCACTCGGATTACAGCAGGTAACAGACATCAGGAATACCAGATAAGAAAGTGAGAGCTGCCAGCCTTCTATCTGCCAGCTATCTACCCTAACGGGAATCTTCACCCATCACAGTCAAACCTCCAGCCAACCCTCCAGATGGCTACTGTGCACCTGCACGTGACACTGGGCTACCACCACTCATGGCAGTGGTTTTCTCCGCTTGCTCCCCTCTCCTAGCAGGAAAGCAGGCTGGGGTGGAGGTCCAGGTGAGGCACCTTACTGCTGATGAACCACTCTGCCTTATTCTGGAGATTTTCACACATAGAGGATATACTTGCTACCCTTCTGTGTGACCACAGGCTGACAGCACTGTGGCTGGGCTAAGGTGTCATCCATCAGCAGCCTTAAAATGCTCAAAAGAGAGTTTAAAGACAACAGTGACATGTTCCTCAGTGGAACCAGATATTTCAGGCAAAAATGTCCTTAGTTTGTGGCTTGGGAGGTTCAGGTGGGACACTGGAGGAGGGACCACCAAGGAGCCAGTGCAGCACTGTAAGAACCTGCCCACAGAGTCTGTGAGGGCTCTCTCTCTATGAAGGCTTTTAAGACTCAACAAAGCCATGCTAACCTGAGTGAGAACTAGCAACAGCCCTGCTCCAAGTGGGAGACTTGGCTAAATGGTTTCCAGAGGTCCCTTTCAACCAGCATTCCCACAATTATTTGAGTGGAACATTCATCATTGCAAGAAGCTCTCCACAAACCAGGAACTGCCTACTTCAATTTTAACCTAAAAGTTATTATTTACTGATAATGTGTTATAAAGGAAAGAAGGACTGCCTGTGAGAATTTCAGTAAGTATCTGATCACTTAGTAGCACTTAACATTTCATTAAATTAACACAATTTTAGGACATTACTGTGCTGGTTTACATTCACATTAAGGTTTACATGCCCTCACAAACTTTGGAGCATTTAGAAACTGTGTAGCTTCTGAATTCTTGATATCACAGGACATACTATGTTTTTTAGGAAAAGCTGCTCCTAGAAGAGGTCTGGAAACGTCTAAAAAGTAACTGTTCCAGGACTAGGGCATTGCTACTGAAACCTGAATAGGAAAAAACTGTGGTGAACCAACACCCTGAGAAAGTAAAATATTAAGTCACAACGTAAAACAAAAACCCTAATTTTTTTCTTGTACAGCATTTAGAACAGAAGCTATACCCAGGAAGCTGAGATGACGGCAGAAATAAAAAAGGCATATCCTATTTGTTAACACACACTCACAGGACTGAGCTAACACCTCTAGAGAAAAGGGGGAGAAATGGCTGGACCAGCACTTAATGTCAGTGGGAGCAAACCAGCACTGCTGATCCACACCGTTAGCACAGCAACTGAACTTTGCTGACATTTGCCTTCAGGCTTGAGAGGAACACTGAGGCACTCATCAACAGAAGGGTCACAGCTTGGGTCACTCTTCTCCATGCTACAAATACAGGATATACTTCAAAGAGCAAAAGTCTTGAATGCTGGTTCTGCCCATGTGTGGCTCCTGTGTGTAGGAAACTGTCACAAGTTTAACCATCTAAAACTGACCACTCATTTCAGTTGTAAAACACCCCCTGCATCCTGACTTCTAAAACAGATCTTATTTTAAGACAGAGACAATGAAAAATCAGATTCCTTCATGACACCCAGAGCAACAAATGGCTTTTGTTTAAGAAAAAAAGTAAATATCCAGTCCTTTCTAAATACCATTAAGCACCCAGAGGGTTATCCCAAGCAAAAGCTCAGGGCACTGGAATTGCTCCAGCCTGCTTAATCACATTGCCTTTGGGAGTGTCACATTGCAGATTTAAACAAGGAGGCAAGTCTGTGTGCCATGTGTCTACTATTTTTATGCATGGCAGAAAAGGATATGAGGTCAATGTGCCCTGCAGAGAGTGATCTGACTTCTGAGTGAATGCAGAAACTGTCTTAGTGTGCCTTGCCCAGGAGATGGCAATCCTTCTTCACAAGCTTTATATGGGGAATTTGAGCAAATCAAATGAAGAACAAAGGAACAGGTGTTTGATTAAAACAGAGGGCTGTATTGTAATGGGTTTCTTCCCTCTCCTCAAGCTGCTGGATCAGAAGCAAAAAATGTGAGGAATTTTTTTCAGGGAGATCTGAAACCATCAGTGGGAAACTCTTAACTGCTTTTGTTCTAGGGCTGGCAAGTTCAGGTCTCCTGTCTTTGATTATCATGTTTTCCAGACACCTTAATCAGAACAAATCTACTGACTGTCTCTTTGCAAGGCTAGGGGTAAAAGGATATATTTTTCTGAAAACCAGGCATTTTCTCTCCTAGAGAGACAGCAGAAAGAGTGGTCAGGAGTAGTGAAGTTAGCAGTAAGAGCTCCTGAGACAGAAAAGCAACAGTTATCATTATCTTAAGGGAGAAGTATTCTGAAATTGTATTTGTCAACAAGGGCTGTCCCCAGCTGTAATCCCAGGATGGATATCTGCGAGTGCAAAAATTCTGATGGGCATGAACTGAAAACAAATCAATGCCAATTCTGCCAAGAAATTTGATTCCTCTGACTTGTCAGCCAGCAAACCTCAGCTCTGGCTCACAGAACTAGGAGCTGAAGTTAATTCAAAATGCCCCAATGCAGCAGCAGAATGAGGTGAAGGGCATGTAAATAGGGCATGTAAATGGGGCTCCCTGACACAGTACACACAACCTCTGAATCAACCTCCTTAGACGTGTGACTCCACCCAAGGGCAAGATTAAGAAAGTTACAGCTGCATTTGCCTTCTGCTCTGTGTGTGTTTTTAAGAAGTGGGAGAAAGAGCCAATTAAAAGGCCAAAACAGCAACTGACTGCAGCTTGACAGATTGAAAGGGATGAAACTTCTGTAAGCGTGCCTGCGATGGATAATCCTACTAAAAGAAAGATGGCATTTATACTTAGAGGCACCCCACCCTGCAGAACTATAGTTAAGGCTCACCACTGTCTCACACAGTTCTAAAAATGTATATTGTTCAAGGAGAATGACTTGCAAACTGATGTGTTATTGATGTCCTGGGATAAACTGAACAAAGGCACTTGGTGACTACATGAAGAGTCTCACAATAAAGCTCCTGAAAATGATCTTATTTTACATTTTTGTAGTACTTTCAAGTTTTGGCCAATGCTGAGAGTACACAGATTTAGGTAAGGATGAAGGTAATGCCCCCAGGCAGCTTCTGAGGCTATCTGGTTCTCTGAGAACAAACTCTGAAACACAAGATTTCAAAGCCCACTGGTGCTTCATGGAGAAGCTGTATCAAACTGAAAGGCAAGTTGACAGCAGCAGCTTTACTGACTCTGTTTTTAACTCTCCCCACGTTTTGCTACAGACTGTAAGCCCAGCTAAGTGGGTTTCCATTATCAGGGTCTCACATTTACATAGCAACCTTTAAATTAACTGAAAACACTGCCAGTAGTTTCCAACTTCCCCATCCTTTGATTTCATCCAAGACTGTTGGGCCCCCTGTACTGTGCATTCCATGCAAACCACTATGCAATGGTCAGTTCCTGCAGGCTAACACTTCCAGCAGCATGCCTCCTCTTGAAATCCCCTATTCCCTAGGCTGGCAAAAATCTGCTGTTCTCTAACTGCTCCTGTGAATCATTTAAAGTTTTCCCTGCTCCTCTCTTATAACTTCTAAGCTTGTATTAACCAAAGGTTCTGTCCTTGACTCTCTTCTCCCCCATCTCCAGTAGTAGGCTTATCCAAACCCAAAAACTCAGGTGTCATTTGCTGGGATGACAAAGCTATTCTTATACTCCAGGCTCTGATTTCTTAATGTCTGACCACAAGCTCAAATGCAGAAAGGCCAGAACACATTTTTCATGTTTTCCTCAAGTGCTTTTTCCCAATGTGCCTCCTCATCTTCCTCACTCATTGACTGCCACCACCTCACCTGTCTTCAGATCTGTAATATTTGGCTTACTCAACCTGGACTCTCCCTTGATCTTCAGAAGAGATTATGACAGCATCATGCCAAGTCTTTGCCATCCAAAATACTGTTTCCACATCCATTAACCGACTAAAACACTTGTTCAGATTCTTATTTCACAGCTTTTTTACTGCAACATCCTGCCTCCTACCACTGCAGATTTGTTCAAGCAAGAAATGGCATTTTTAGGTGATACAGAACACAGCATAACAGGCTCCTGGTCCATAAGCATTGGCATTCCCTAATATGAAGGGAATTGATAGTAACTCTAATAATGCCTGATCCTAATTCTCTTACTGCTAACCTAAAGAACATCAGGATATTAACAAATCATCAACTAAAGGAATAAAAAAAAAGCCAAAAAGTAACAATTAATACAGTGACATTTACAAAATTACTTTTTTAGTTTGAAGAAACACTGCTCTAAACATGAAAAACAAATACACAATATGTGAATAAAACAAAATACCTGATAGTCTGAGGTCATAATAAGTCCACCTGAGGTAGTGGTAGGAGGAACAACTCTCACTTTTTTCAGTGGGGGTCCCTGTGTGTGACTGTTGTCTTGGTTCCCTGGATGACCGGTTCCATTAGTATGGTTGTTGCCCTGCTGCTGCTGCTGGTTCTTCTCAATTGTTTGAACACAAAGAAAAATTTCAACTCAAAAACAGTACATGAAATAACATAAAATCAGGAAATAGTGTAAAAGCCAGTGAAACATGATGATACTGTTCTTCTAGTACTTACTTTGTCTCCTTTATCATCTGGTTCTTCTTCTGTTAAAAATTCTCGTTTTGGGTAAGGGATTTGACAACCTGCAAAAACACTGTCCCCCAGAAAAGTCTATTTATCACTGTATTAGAACAGAAGGGTAAGACCTGTAAGATTCACACTTTACCCATGATAGCTTCAAGCTGCCTAAGCCATCATTTCATACCTGTAACTAAGGGAGAAGTTTTCCCTGACTGACTATCACCATATTCTAAACTTTGCAAAAACATAATCATTTTTACATACTCGATTTTAATGTTCATTTGACTCTCACACACTAACTTAAGCTCCCAGTAATTTTTTTGTTGGTCCATCACTTGTTAGGTATCTACAAGGGCACAAAGAGCTATCTCACTTATAGCTATTCTGTAATTCACAGTTTCAGGACTAACTATAAATATTCCTGGAAACTTCACTAACTATTAAAAAAAAAAACCACCTGGAAAAAAGTTTAAAAGTAACTAGAAATTTCACCTGTCAACTCATAGCTCACAGTCCACATGGATTTGCTACTTCTAGTGCAAGCTAATATTTACATGCCCTTCATCAGTAGAATGTATTTACAATAAAGTCTCTGTACACCTGTTAGCAATACTCACTGTGCATTCACATTAAAATGTCAACCTAAATTTGAGAAAAATGCCAAACACTATCCTAAAAGCAGTTTCTGCAACAGGCAATTGTTCGCATGACTTTAAATCACAGAGACAGTTCAGGAAATGCTATAAATAATCCAGCAGGCTTTCGTGAAATAATTTCATTTTTAATTAATTCCTTATAAGTATACATATTTTATAAATTCTTCCCTACATAAGAGCAGAGAATCACAGGCAGGATGTACTAATAGCTTTCCTAAAAGGGTGTACAGTCATGCTCTCTGGCTAGCCTTTTGAAAGAAGGGCTTAATTTTTAATGAAATCATTCACTGTCCATAAATTCTTTCCCTTTTGTAAATCCGCCTGTGCAAACAAAACAGAGGAGTGTCTACAGAAAATGGATTTAAGTTGTTAAGGATGACAGCACAGAGGCACAGACTTGACTTTCCCCACCCAGTGAATTTACAACAAAGGCTAAGACAAAAATGTAAACTAATTAGAGACTGTCATCTGGCATTTTGAGGCAGAGAAGCAGACCTGCGGGCACTTAGCAGTTGTCTACCAAGATCTGTAGCATGCATAATCAACCTGTCAGTGAGTAACAAGATTAGTGCTGCAACTAATAGGATCAAAGTTCCATAAAGCAAGAGATTAATAAAAATGCTACTTAATTTTAAAAACCACAAATGGCATTTTAGTGGTTATAGCTCTCTTCGGTTGTTAGCCAGTATTTAGCTCAATATTCACAAACATACTTAGGGCAGAGAGAAGGCACAGCTCTAAAGCACCTCTGAATGCACTGATAGGTTCATAAACTGACCACTTACTCGGATGTGGGAAGAGGATCTTCCAAGAAGTAAGGATCCTGCATAGCCTGTTCTGAGGTAATTCTCTTTATTGGATCCATAGTGAGCAATTTCTGAAGCTGAAAAGAAACAAAAAAAAAAGAAAAAAGAAAGAAAAAAAACACTTTTACATTACCAAAACCATTTATAGAAACTTCACTGTATTCCTGAAAGTTAAGATGATACAAATGTGTGTGAACTCAAAAGCCTAACCATAAATGGCAAACCCACATTCTTCTGCCCTGTTAAAACAGTAACTTCATTTCCTATCAAAGGACACCTATTTTCACTCACAAAGCCCAGGACACTCAGTTCCAGTCACAAGTGTTCTATCAAAACCATTCAAAAAGTTTCCACAATGTACTAGCACCTTTAATCACAAAATAATTTGGGTTGCAAGGGCCCTTTCAAGGTCAATTAGTCCAGCCCCCTGCCATGGGCAGGGACATCTTTAACTAGACCAGGTTACTCAGCACCCTGTCCAGCCTGACCTTGAACACTTCCAATGATGGGGCATCCTGAACTTTGTGCAACACGTTTCAGTGCCTCATCACTCTCTGAATAAAGAATTTCTTCCTAATGTCCAATCTAAATCTACCTTCCTTCATTAAAAAGCCATTATCTCTTGTTCTATCAAAAGAATGTTCCTCTCCAGCTTTCTTGGAGACTCCCTTCCAAGTACTGAAAGGTGTTATAAAGGTCTTGTGGGAGCCTCCTCTTCTCCAGGCTGAACAAGCCCTGCTCTTTGAGCCTGTCTTCAGAGGAGAGGAGCTCCAGACCTCTGATCACCTTTATGGTCCCCCTCTGCACACCCCAGACGAGGCCTTATGAACTAGGAACACCAAACCATAACTATTTTATTTAGCTCTAGTGCTGAGTTGCAGTGATGCATTCTTAAACTACATGGTTTTTATTCAAAAAGTCTGCTGTACATGCAGATACTTCTCTCCATCCACCCTAGCAGCTGTGTGGAATACAGCTGTGCCGGGCAAGCAACATGAGATAACCTTCAGATACCACACAGAAAAATAGTGAGTTTTCATGTTTCAACAATACAATGAAGTGTGCAAAGCAAAACTACACCATGACATATTGTCCAAGACTTTATAACAAATGCTTCACTTTTAACCTGCAGTGTGTATTTTTAAACAAGAAAATACATATGTAAATAAAATTAATTTACATTTCCTACTCATGCTTTTTATAGGATTCATACATTTCACGTTTTTAAAAAGATCCAGTATCATGATCTAAGTCTGAACTGGTCATCTTTCACTAGGAGAAATTCATAACTACATGTGAGAATTCATAACTGCAATGCAAATCTCTATACTTCAAAAGCTGAGGTTGAGAAAGTACATTTCCCTCCTCAGCCTTCAGTTTTGACGGCATGGTTAAAACTTGATAACTATGAATTACCATCATCAATTCAGTTTTGTTTTCCACATCATCCACAAGAACTCACAGCTCTCTGAGTCTACATGAAGTTTTTATAGAATAGCATGCTGAACAAGCCAATTCTTACTCTCTCAAAAAGCATTGCCAAGAGCCAGAAAAGGAAAAGGCAAAACATGACAAAGAACTGCCAACACACTGAAAAACACGAATGAAAAGCACTGCAAAATGCTAGCATAGTTTGTGATGATTGGATTCTAGAGCTGTCCATTACAGGATGACAAGTCTTGGTCATAATCAGCCATACCAAAAGAAATCAAAATGACTGTGCAACCATTATCCACCCAGGGGATCAAGACTTCAGTTCTGCCCCCTTGTACAGATGCCACACAGAAGTGAACATTCTATATATTATTACAAATATTTTCTATTTCAAAAACTGCTTGATGTAAAGATCACCTGACCAAATGACACAATAAATATGCAGTAAACTTCACATATCATCTATTGATGGGACAATCACTACAGCTTATATGGACCAAAGTAACCACATGGATGATCAAAAAAAATCAGGCATATAGGAATTTTTAAAAGTAAAAGTAAACTATTGAAAGTATGCAAAGCAGCAAAATGAATAAGGATTGCAGCAACACTGCATATGTAACTACAGGCTAACACAACTCTAACACAACTTCAAGAACAAAAACTTCAAAATTACTTGTTACTGAACCTAATCCAGTGAATGAAATTCAGAATCATTTTACCAATGTGAGAAGATAGTGATTTTGCAATTGTCAGAGTGCAGAGTATCAGTTATTCCTAAATTTATTTATAAAGTTAGTTAAACTGGACTTGACACTAGCTCAGCTCTTACTTGAAACAACTGTAACATATATAAGGGATTTTTTTATGTCTGCAGGAACTTACCAAGTGGAATGCCTTACTATCTGGTTTAACTTTGTGTTTTTCCATATATTTGATAAGGCTGCAGTTGGTATACCTAGAAAAGTAAACAGAAGTGATATTTCTAATATGCAAAACATTGATACTGCAAAGTTTCCCTGGTAGTCACAAAACATATTATTAAGGACAGTTTAGTCTCCCTGCAAACCCAATAAGCAGGGAAAAACCACAACTATCAACACCAGAGATTGCTTAAGAGAACTGCAGAAAGGCATGTTTCCCTCACATCCTTATAAAAGTATATAATACCCACACAAAAAGCACACTTGGAACCCAGAGTGTGCAGACAGCAAACTATCAACTGGATTTAAACTGCCTGGTAGCAATTTGACTACTATACTGTTTCATTCTGTGTATTTCTCATGGCAGTGAAGATATATAATAAGCTCATTTGAATGCTCTCCTGCAACCTACAGGTTGCTACACGAACATTCACGTATTTACTTTTTGAAGAGAAGCTCAAAAAAAAGGTTTCTAAATGGTTGCAATAACATGGCAGATGCAAGAAATGCATGTAACTATACAGCCCCAAATGCCTCAGCACAGAAATCAGTCAATGGGGTGGCATTTTAAGTGCAGGTATTAGCCTGTGGCAATGTGACAACAATGCTGAAGGGCATTTTCCTCTTCAGTCACTGTAAGCTACCCTAGACACCAAACCTGACAATTATACCCACTGTTTGCTGGAAATGGTATAAAGTTACCAGACCCCTTTTAAGCAGCTATTACAGAAAATCACTGCCAGTACCACAGATTTGGGAACAGCTGTGCTTTGACACACTGTGCTTTGCAAACTGCAGAGCTGCTTGGGGTCTTACTGGCATCATCTGTTTCAAAGCTGCCACCTTACCCTTTACAGCCTCTGGCTACTCCTCTGATCCACACCACCTCAACAGGCCAAGTTCACCATTATGAAACAACTTTTTTTTCATAATCTAAGTCATAACAATTTCATAGTCCTTGTTTGGCATCTACATAGAAAACAACTCAAACTGCAAGAATTTAGTGTAGGAAAGAGATATAAAATAAGCTTTATTAAGAAAGTTCAACCCAGACTTACGTGTTTCTCCGGAAATCTTTCATTAAGGTTGAATGTTCTGGCATCTTTTTTATATCTTCCCAGTCTTTATCTGCAAAGCAGTATTAATTATTTTTTCCCTTTCTCTCTGAGTAAAACAAAGCATTTCCAAGTATCTCCACAGCCTTGATACTTGTTTTTTTAAATTCTACTTCTCTAACCTTGTAGTCTTATACCTTTGTACTCCCTAGCTCCTACTCCTTCATCATCTCTTCACAATAAATCATACCAACACCTAAGAGGTTCCAGCTGTGTGCTGATTAACTCAAGAATTTTGAAAAAAGATGCCAGCTACAGTGGCCACAAAACAATGCTGAAGAAAAACACATCAGGCTTGAGCTTGAACCCTTCAGGACTGTTACTTAATTTATTTAGACACAGCTGTGATCTCAGGACAGGAGTACACAGACCTCCAGCAAACCCTGTCTCCTTCTAAGGGATTCTCTGTTCTGACAGCACTTTTAGTTACAGGAAACTGCCCAGAGGTACTTCAGCAAAGTAAGATATACTGTTATTAAACAAAAAGTTAAGAAAAAGTAAAGTTGGCACACTCAAAATGAAGAATAATTCACCTCAATGTAGACCAAGGCTAAAATGGATTTTAAAATAAAACAAAAAATTCACTACCAGCACCTAACCTCAAAAGTCTTAAGCTCCAACCCTTGAAAAAGCTCTGTGGCCAATTAATTTGGTTCAATTCAAATATTTACTAAGTCTGATCACTACTGCAGAACACTTAGTTTAAGTGTCAATTAAAACGCAAAAAAAAATGCTGCAATTGAAGGAAAAGCATTTCTTGAAAAAACCAAAGAACTCCAAAGGTCAAACGCAGACCATTAGAAAGGATTCATTAATCCAATCAGAAAACCAAAACGAGAGTATGATCTACTTATATAAGTTATACAGAACCAATGTAAAACCCAAATGAACTAAGAAAAGTATAACAGGGTAAATTTCTAGTTCAAAAGCAGAAGGGGACAGTATTGCTCAAAGAAGCAAAACTAAGGAGACAATATACAAAGGCAACATTTCCATGAATCTCACAGAGCAGTACAGAAGCAATGAAGCACATACACACAAAAAAAAAGGCAAAAGCAAAAATAACAGCCTGTTTAATAACAAAATTCTAGAACCAACACAAACATATAGACCACAAAAGTCATGTGAAAGGAAGAGGCAAGTTCAGGAAAAAAAACCCAAACAATTAATAGTGGAGCAGGGAACACAAGCAGTGAGGAGAAAGATAAACAAAAAGTTTAAAACAAAAATAAGGCCCCTGTTACTCTGACTCCTGCAATCATGTGAACACTAGAAGACAAAGTATTAACTGAAGAAACAAGGCAGCCTGCATAAAAACAAAGTGTGACCAACACTGAGGGGAAAATGCAACAAGTGATATTCCCACTGTAATTTGTTTTGGTTCATACAACCAGTTCTTGGAAGAAAGAAATTTTTTCTATACCACCAGCTTTCCACCAGGTGGGGGGGATCAATACCCTCCCTTTACTTCCAAATGCTACATTTAATTTGGCATGAGCTAAACAAATGCATAATATTCACTAAATATATATACTTTTTGCCTGGATTCATAAATCATCAGTCACCTTGCAAATCAATAATCAGTACTGAAGCAATGTAGAAATATTCCTTCTCATTTTTAATCACCCAGCATTAAATACACTCTTTTAAAATAATAAAGCATTGGTATATGTATACACAAAGATAACCCTATCATCAATAAAAGGGAACATACCTAATTTGACCATTGGATTCTAGATCTATAACTCATGAAATAAAGACTGTGTTTGAACAGCTTTGCTGCTTTGATCAGCTGCCACCTTCATATGCAAAGAAAGCAATATGGATATCTTTCTTTGAACAGCAGTGATAAAAAATACAGTATGTACCTGCAGGAAATCCCATTACATTGAATATTCTGTCCAGCTGGTCATGGTGATAAGGATTACTAGTTTTGATATCTTCTTGTCGACAATGGAATATTGGCTCTGATGTTAGCAGCTCTGCAAATATACACCCTATGGCCCAAATATCTTTAAAAAAGGAGAACAGAAATAAAAAGAACAACAAATGAATCTTTCCAAAATCATCTGGGTGAGGTAGAATGTTAGTGTTTAGCTTATCAGAGATAAGGTCACGTTTCTACTGTAGAAGTGCAATACTTCCTCAACTTTTTCTTTTAGCTTTGAATGGAGGTACCCAATTCAGACACTACACAGGAGCTGAGAGAAGAGCATATGAGTTTTTGTGGCGTTTTTGAAGTGTGGTTACCATTTAACATTGTAAAAAATTATTCTGGTTAAGAATAAAAGTGAAGGAAACTATTGGGATAATGGTCAACACACAAAACGCCAAGAAAGTAAAGCCAACCAGCATCTTGTCCTTTCAGTGCCACATTGTCCTGATCAAGAAATGTGCAATTGCTCATTAGCCAAGTTTAAGTAGTAATGACCCCAAAAATACAAGCTGAAAAGTAGTGGTGTTGGTAAAAACCAAATAACACCTTGAAAGAGAGTAACACACAAATTGCTACAAGCCCACACACCTCACAACTTTTCCACAACATTCATTTTAAAAAAAAACCCCAAACCCTACAACCTTTCTCTTTTCATTGTTGCTTTCCTATCTAATAATCAGATCTCCTGAATCTTCCCAGTTGTTTTCTCAATTCTTTTCTAGTATATACAAACACAATTTTAAACTCAAAGTGGTGCTACACTGAGCCTTGAATGAACAAGGTCATAAACAAGGACAAAAGCAAATAATGCAAACAGCATAACTCCATTACTCAGTGTTTTTACACAGTAATTTTTTATCTACATCGAAAAAACTATGTACTAAAGGCTATGACTGCCCATGCAGTTTCACACGCTGCCATCAGAAGAAACAGCAGTAAAGTGAGAGAACATGAAAATACAACAAATTAAGCAGTTTGAAGGAGCATAAACAAATTTATCTGATCTATAAAAGAAACACAGTATTAACAGAAAAGTAAACAAGAATACATTTAAGGCATAAACATGAGAACTGCTGACAGAAACACAGACAGGATCTTTAAAAAAACAAAACAAAACAAGAAAAAAAGATTGAGTTCTGAGGAAGACTGTCAGGTTACAGAAACAACACAGCATGCTGACGTACAACCTCCAAGTCTGTGCAAAGTGGAGTAGCTGCTAGGGAAGTTACTTGCTCCCAGAACTGGTTGCCAGCCTTTAACACATCTTTTAAACCAGGCAGCAAGAGAAATCTTCCCAGTGCTTTTCCCTACAGTCTCTCTCCCTTCCATAGCAAAGCTGATCAATGCAGTAAAAGTCAATCTAATCTCCTTCCAGTTTGCTGCTGGGCTGCTCCCCTGTTATACAGCCCACAAAAGCTCTGGCCATCTGTCAGCTGTCTTTTTCAAAGACACAGAGAGGCTAAAATGCAGCTTAATTTTACATTTTAGCTTCAGTGCAGCCACTATATTTTCCATTCTGTACATTCTTTATTGCATATCTTTATTACACTAGGTAATAACCTCTGCAGTAAATTTAATGCACTGTGCCTCACAGTCATCCTAATATGAATTCTACTAGCAGTTCAAAGATGCTTCCATATTTTTATAGCCTCTAACAGCATTTATGAAAGTCCTGTGTGAAAGCCACAAAGTTAGATTGCATTGCAGGGCATTTGGAGATAAAACCCAGCAATATATTTCATTTCTATATATAGCCTGAGACCCCAGGAAACTAATCAATTTGTCAAACATTAATGTTTCTTCAAGAAACAAGGAACATACCTTTAACTCAGCTACAGTCCTTTGAACAATTTATCAAAGCTTTAATATTTGGGTACAGTTTACATAAAGAACAAAACAGTACATTTTTGTCCAATTTACTTACCAATAGCTTTGGTATAATGCCTTGCTCCAAGAAGCAACTCTGGAGCTCGATACCAGAAGGTTACAACTACTGGATCCAAGTCTGCTAAAGGCTTCAGAGGTGAATTAAATAATCGGGCAAAGCCCATGTCAGCTGCAAAATTCAAAGAGAGATGCTTTAAAATTTGAGGGAAACTAATAATAATTTTTTTTTTTTGAACAAACTGATTGAGTTTACTTGTTAGCACTATCATCATTCCTAAATAAAATGCAAAGGCAGACTGTAGCAGATATGAACTCTCTGAGCAGATTTTCTTTCTGTACAAGTTACTGGATGGCATCACCTATGGAGTATATCATTATAAATCATTACTAACATGAGTCATTTACAACAATGAATTAACCATTGTTCTGAAGAAATGCATAAACTCCTCAGGACACTGGTAAATACTGACTCATTTCACCTGATGTTCTCTGGTAAAATATTCCCATTATTACAGGATGTTTTTTCACAAAGCAGCAATTTTTAAAGCAAAATGCAGATTCTGCAAAGGTTAGAATGATTTATAATACATACATGTACATGACAAAATCTCCCTCTTCATGAAGTTAGCTGTGGCAAGACTTCCTTCACACAAAAACAGCACCTAAGCCTAACAGCATCTGCCTCCTTGCTGATTTTCTATCAAGATACATTTCCAATATCAATATATCAGTGCTGAATACCATTCAGGCTATGATTTTAAAATTTTGGTTGTGGGCATTATATCATTAAAAACTGCTTTCTAAAATTTGTAGCATACAACTGCCTAGGAAGTTGTCTGAACAACTAACTGTAAGTCATACAGGAAAAAATGGGCAGAGACTAAAATGTGCAGCTTCTCCCATGAAATTGCTTTCCTGACCCACCAACCCCCGAATCCCAAGATAGAGTGACTCTCTCATGTAGGGGTATTCATATGCTGAGAAAAACTTGAATGAAATGAGATGAGTAGCTACCCTGAAGGAAAAGGACCTACATGCTATGGCCCAATGAGGAAACACTGCAGTGTAAATATGGGTCTGTAACTTGACTACACAATCCTTAATTATTTTTTCATATGCATTCCTATTTATGATTGCTTTAAGGCATTTAAAAAGAGAAACATTTTACAGTTTTCTACATTAAAATATCAATTACTCAAAATTGGTCAAGTCACTAATAACTATGAATAATGAGGAAAATTGTTGGCAGAAAGTGAATTTATGACCCAAAGTGACACAAAAAGACTATAAAAATTATTTTAAGTTAAATAACAGTTATGTATTTTTTAGAAAAATTAGTTACACTGGAAAAGTGGAAGCCCTTGGTATGTGTATAACTTCTGCATTCTTTTACGGCTGTGGCAATCTTAAGAAAATAAGAAAAAAAAAAATCTACATTTTGATAACACACTTCAAAATCCAAAGTTCCCCTCCCTCTTTCCCTGCTGGGAATGGATGGCTCAGAGGACTGGTGGCCCAATACAGAATCTTTCACCTGTCCATTAAAGGAGTCTGACTTAATTTAGTTGTTTACTAAGTTATTCTCAAATTAATTCAAAACGATGAATTAAGAAATAAATGGGTGGTCTATGTGCAATTACTAGGAAGTAGTTGTGTACAGCAAATATCACCACCACTGTCAAAAGTGAGTCCAGAGGATGACCTAAGTGCTCTGTTTTGGAAGAAACCCTCCTGAAGAGTACGGTAATATGAAGAAATTTTCCCTTCTGTTGTCCGAGCTGTACCTGTTTTGTATGCAGACCTCAATCCCTACTGCCAACCTTAAAAGCTCAGAAAGGCATTAGAAACTTTCAGAGTAGGATCTGCAGAAACATTCAACCCTGGCCCATCACTCCTTGGATTCCACAGGACAAGGGAAGGCCTAGAGCAGCACTGAATGCTCCCAGAAAATCCTACCCTGAATCTTTCTACTAGTGACTAACAATATAGTTCAGATCAACAAAACAGCAAGAGAACAGAGCAACAATGCAGAAGAGTAATCTCACAAAAGAAAACCAGGGGGAAGTCAAAAAGATGAACTAGCCTTAAAAAACCCTTCCAAATGGGGCTGCATTACCATAACAAATGTAAGCAGGCTGTGCATTAGTAGCACTGCCATGATAATGCACAGCCTGGTACAGTTTATTATTTTTAGACTACTGTTAATTTTTATTTATGTATTTAGTTTAAAACAATTGAACTTCTACAAACCATCCTCTCACTGTAAACAGTAACTCCCACCAGAAAATGTTATAATAGTGTGGAGTGTTGGGTCCTTTCTAACCTGGTACATCCCAGGCTAGGCATTTAGCATTAGCTATTTGCTCTCACTAAACATTTTGCATGGATTTCTGTGGTTTCTGCACTTTTAAGATCCCTTGTGTTCATCTCCAAGGGACCTGCCTACTCCTTCAAAAATATTTTGCAGGCTGTCATCTTTGATTCCATTATAAGATTTAAAGTTTGTAGCAATGAGTAGTTCCCTAATTAGATTTTTATAAACAGCAGCAAGATGTCATGGCATTAGAGGTAAATGGAGGAAATTTTAAAATCCCATTTTTCTCCTCCTTTCCTCCTAGCTAGCTGTCATCTTTAACCCCACATCAAAATGCCCCACCCCACAAAAACACCCTCTTAAGCAAAACATAATGACAATTTCCACTTTCTATTGATGAGGCAACAGCATTTCTTTGTCAGAACTGTTACATGGGGCTAATATGATGAAGCCAGACACTCAGAAAACAGCATTTAGGCAATGTGCCCAGGCACATACTGGTATTATACAGTGACTACTTTAGGTGGTACAGCTGCACCTTCAGAACATTCTAACTTAAATGCTACACTGGGACTTATCAAAGATATAAACATACCAATTTTTACTCTTCCTCGCTCAGGACCTTCACCCATAACTAAAATATTAGCAGGTTTCTGTGGAAAAAAAAATAAATATACAATACATATACCACGATAAACCTAAACATTAGTCTCTGAAAAGTTAATTAAGTTTTGTTTTGCCAGTTTTAAACCAACTTTGTTTTGATAAAAATGACAAGTTTGGCTGTCATAGTAACGCTGTGCAAGGACCCAGACACAGGCTCTCCCTGACTGCATCCTCCTCTTGTTTCTTCTGGGCATTGCTGTGCTCCAGCAGCACATTCCCTACTCACACCCTGGTGTCTGTCCTCAACATGCACCAGCTGGCAGCCACCCAACTGCTGAGATTTCTACCCAAATTGCCCTAGATCCTTTCAGTGGGAGGCAGTCCCACTGCTGCCCACCACCCCAACCACAGGGATGGGAAGCCAGCTCTACAGCAAGCTTTGCCCAGGGTTATTAGGCACATTTGCACACACATTGCACATAAAAATACACAAGTGAGATACAGATGAAACATATCACTCGATATTGGAGAGAATACCATATCACTTGATTTTGGAGAGAACACTCATCTAAATTCTTGCTATTTACAAGTGTTTACCAATTTACACAGCTGCAAAACTGGAAAGCACCGCCTTTACGTTATTCTTCTGTCTTTCCTTTTTTTTTACTACGGAGGCAAGCTAAGGAACTGAGCTAGAGTTTGGCTGGCTAGAAACATTGTAACTCACTTCATAATACTCTATCTTCTGCTGTCCTGTTTCTCATAATCCATTCTCAGCATCTGTAGTCACAGGATTCCTCAACTCCTAACACAGTTCACATAATGAAACCTACAGTGCTTATTTTGAGGGAAAAAAGAAACTCACAAGTAAAGTTGATAATGTATGCCAGACTTGTTCTCAAATGGAGTGATTTAGATACCCATTAGTTCTGTAAATCCTGGACAAAATAGGGATTCCTATTCAGTTGTGACCTCTAAGATTGTAGTAAGGCTGAGTTACAGCTCTTGCTTTGCTTTTCCAGTTTAAACAGATCTGAAGGTAAGAGTATCTGAGCAGAACAGCTCAGACCACCTAAAAGTTAACATAATAAACCCTACTATCTTTGTGTGGTTTTCTAAACACATTCTAGGATATTCCTAAGTCTTCCTGAATCTATCAGACTCTAATGTAAACACACATGCAAAGAAGCAGAACACCACAATATGATATCAACCTACAAGTAACTGCTATTATGTAAAAACAAGGTAGAAAATATTAGCACTTGAGCAAAAATTTTCCTTGAGAAATAAAATTATTGTTGTTTATGAAAGGCTGCAAAATGGAGTTCTGAAACTCTACAATCCTTGGACAAAATATGTAAAAAGAACCTGAGGCATTGCATTTCTGAGAACAGGTTAAGGATAGAAGATCTTATCAAAAATGTGGTCAAAAAAGCTGAAATATACTTCATTGTCTTTCCAACAGCAAGAACGACAGATACAGCTTGTGCTGTATTAGCTCTGTGATTTCCAGAAGAAGTTGTTCCCCACACCGCCACCACCCCCTTTTACTTTTTTTTTAAATAAAGGCATACACTCCAGGTAAGCATTACTTCAACATTAAAAAATGCAGAATGTGGGCACACAGCTCTCAAAGCATTTAATTTAGATTGCCTCTACAAAAGTCCTAGAAATAAACAAACAGCATACGTCTTTAAATTCATAGTTAGTGCTGAACTTTATGGCAATTCAATCTGCTAGGTATGAAAACACATAATTTCATCAAAGAAATCTTTCTATTGCTACACTGTGACTCAAAGAACAAATCCACATCTTTTACAAAACCTGCTTCAATATATATGGGGTGTTAAGCTACATGTCTAATTTTCATGTTTTCATTAGAGTTAACAATATATTACACAGACACTAGAATTTTTCAGATATTTAATACATGGACATAATACATTAAGTACCATTTTTCCCCCTTCAAGTTCACAGGTTGATAATACTCTACAAAAATGCTTTTAACATCTTCATGATATTTTCACCTTAAAATATTTTACTGTTTGGATTTTGGTAAGGACAAGAAGTCCTATTCACACAAAGACTGTCAAATGTATTATACCATATGACTAATCAGCCCAGCACTGGGTAACAATTCCTGCACCAAAGATCTCCTACCCTAAGGTCAAGGCAGGTAGAGATGAGAAAGCACAGTAAGACAGTACTAGTCAGTAAAGTAAGTATCAACAGCTTGATGCACACTCAAGTTTCAGAAGTTACAGAACATACTTAACAATAGAGACAATTTAGAAACCTGTGTAGGAGTATTCTAAAGCAGTAAGATAAAAAATATTCCGAAATATTCAGTAAACCTTTTTCTAAAGCCACAAGTCCTTCACTGAAAACAGCTCTGTTTGAAACACAAGATTTTTCCTACAGACAAAAATATTTATGTAGTCACATCATTGTAAAAATATATCAGAGTTTAAAAAAAAAAAAGTAAATTACATGTCTTATTCTGGAGTCTTCCATTTCTAAAATCATTGTATGCAGAGACTGGAACATTTTTTTGTTCAAAAAATTTTCCAAACAAGACCATTCAACTTAAATTTAATAGGGGGATATCTACTAGAAATCAGTATAGGAGTAGTATTGATATACCTAAGTACTAAGCATTTTGAATAATCCCTGAAAAACACTGAAGTCCACGAACAAAAGTGAATACATGTGTCAGGAATTATTGTTACACATCTTTTAATCGAGTCCACTATCTGAAGATAAAGAACCTCAACAAGTCCTCACAGTTGTCTATTTGGGCAACTCATTACACATTAGAAATTTATTTGCAAAGAAAAATTAGCAGTCATTAGAAGCAGAAGGGAGAAATTTGGATAAGCATTAATTGAATTTGTTAATTTTCAGTTTAATTCTAATTATCCAGAGAAAACTGAAGTTGAAACTGCCTATTCAAATCACTTGGGCTGAGCAAGTGAAGCAAAATCTTTTAGCAATTCTTCCACTGTATTCTGAAAATACTCTACTTTAAAGCAGCTATATTTTTCTATAACTACAAATTACCAACTAAAGTCCCTAATTTTTGTACTAATAAAGGAATAATTACTTTTGTAATTCAGTGAAATAATCTGTGCACCCCAGACAAATGCTAATGAGAAACCTGTTAAGAAACTAAACCAAATGTGAAGAGCCATGCAGTGATGTACAGCTGAATATTTCAGAGACCAACAAAAGTGTCTGGCAATCCCACAGAACTAAATTCAAGAAAAATCACCCTTCTCCTCCCAAATCCATCTCAGCAGCAGAGGGAGAATTCATTCTCATGAAAGAATGACCTTGTGACCATGGCACAGCACTAAGTCTTATCTTGTCCTATATTTGCCTTTGTAGGACTCCTCTTTATGATTCCTAGACAAATCCTCTTGTGTATTTAATCACTATTACTGCTGAAAACAGAACCCACTGATATATCTTTAGGTACTTCTAATTTAACAATTATTTGCAAAGTGCAAAAAGAAATTCTGAACAGCAGGCTAATTTTAACCAAGGGAGGTAAAAACCCAGAGAGGTTCTTAGATCTGTGAAGAACTTGAGACAGTCACCTTTACCTATCTGCCTGATCTCACACGGTACTGCTCATGGTCACCCTGAAGACTCTGGTGACAAAGGCTGCACAATTCCCATGCAATCTTGTCTCTTTCACTCTTCTCCATTGCAGTGTTCTTCCTTTCCTTCTAACACCACAAACAAGGTTAGTCCTCTCGCCTCTTCTCTTCTTCATTAGCAGAAGGCAGACAGCCACTCCTTCACTGCAGGAACTTCCAACACTTCCTGGGACAAACATCTCTCTTCAGTCCTATTACCTAGATTAAAAAAACCCCTGAAGTTCTCTCCTGCTCTGTTTCTTGGTAGGCTATTTTTGTTTCTGGATCTATGCTCATTCTTGCTGATTTCCTCTAGCTGTTCTGCCTTGGGCCACCCATTTCTTTGAACTCCAGTGCTGCAAATTACACACTGCTCCTGCTGAGGCTTCACTAATGCTAAATGCAGTGGAGAGATTATTTTACATGCCTTGCACAGCATCTTCCACTCTGTATGATCCCAGTATGGTATCCTGCCTCACTGCATAAGGCTATTGATGCATGTTAAGGTTACCAGCTGTGCATTTTCTTCATATCTTTTTGGCAGGACTGCTACTATGAACAAACATTGCAGTCACATACTGCTTCTTAACATATACTGAAAATGTTTGTGTTCTTTCACAGAGGGGAGATTAGACTTCAGAACTTATCTGAATCGCTGTCTTGAAGGCAAAAATGCAAACAAAATTAAAATTATACCAGTCTATGTCATGATGAGATGTGACAAAAAGAAAAAAAAACCATCATTCCTGCTGCTCAGAGGAATTTATTGATGGAAGCAGGAGATGATTATTTATTCCAAATTTGTATAAAAGGTATCTGGAAATCTTAGGACATTGTCTCATGCTCCTGGAAAAATATTTTGGTGTTAGGCCCTCCTTTCACTAAGCTTTACTCACCAAAGCAGTGAGGAAAGAACTGGGCATTTTTAGACAGCTTAGCCATTGCAATTTTTGATACATTAATATTTTAAGCATCAAACCAGTCTGCAGGAACTACTATTCCACATAGGTTTTGCTACTAGTCTGTTTCTGAAATCACCAGTTTTCAAAGACTGATTTTAAACATCGGTATCAGTGAGTCATCTAAACTCCTTTGAATTACCTACTATGATATTGTCAATGCTACCTCCTCCCCATCCACATTAACTGCTTGCAACATTTCTATGTATGCTAATAAACAGACTCCTACTCTTTACACATCCTTTTAAATGCACCTTTTAATAAGGTTTTAGTATAATCCTAACCAATTTTCATTTGGATAATCCAATACTTACGAGTTGGGCTACTAAAACATTACACTCTAGAGGAGTCACAATGATGGGGTGAGTCACACCAGGGATATTTGTTAACTCCTGGTATTTGTGCACCCTTACTGGCTGTGGGACCAGTTTACAGAACTGGCCTTGC